CCGCCGGTGCCGCTCCAGGTGCGAAGCCCACGGGAAGCTCTTGCCGCAATCGGCGCAGCTGAACGGCCGCTCCCGTGCCGGTCCCTTGCTGGCCGCCCTGCGGAGGGGCTTGGCACAGTCCAATTTGGGGACTGCCGTGGCTTTGGGCATCTTGGCGGTGCCGTGTGGCACGGCTTTATCTGGGCGCTTCATTTTCCTCCTGTTCGAGCCGAGGGTCTTCTCCCTTTCCGGGCTGCGGGATGAGCGCGCTTCGAGCTCCTCACAGGTCTCCTCCGCTGCTCCTTCCTCCGCTGCTTTTTCACTCACCAGCCCCTGTGCTGCTGGGGAGATGGGAAAAGGAGAAAAAGGGGAGAGCATGGCCTCAACCGGAGCAGGGGGCTGCATTTAAGTTGATGGAGCAGAAATGGGACTCCCATAAAAAAAGCTGGTCCCCCAGAGAGAAGGAAGAGAGGTGCGATGGGAGACCTGATCCCAGTTTGAACTGGGAATGTGGAAATGCTGAGCGCACCCCATTGCCCGTATTTCCAATTAAAAAAAAATAAAAATGCGGAGAGATCAATAACATTTTCCTGCAGAAAATTCGAGGAGAGGGCTGGGATTTTGGGAAATCCCTCTCAAAACCTGCCTGGATTCTTCCTCCCCTCTTCCCATCCTGCTCGCAATCCCTTTGCTTCCCTGCCAGAGACAGGAAAAAAAAAGAGCAAGGAAAAAAGGAGGGGGATGTTCAAGAAGGAAAGAGGATTTTTTTGTGTTTGCTTACCAAGGGACATCAGCGTTTCGTAGCTCTCCTGCATCACGTCCTGGTACAGGGCCTTCTGCCGCGGGTCCAGCATCACCCACGGCTCCATGGTGGGGAGAGGCACAGGCAGCCAGGAGAATGAAGGTTTTTCCCTCCGTTCCTTGCTCAGGGCTCCTCAAAATCCCCCGTGGGGAAGAGAAATCCCTTGAAATGAAGGAAATCCCCCCGTGTAGGGCTTCTTACTTGCGTTTTGATGCTTTTTCTGGGGGCGCCTTGAGAAATGTTGGGTTTTTTTCTCCCCGGGTTGCAGCACATGGACAGTCCCTCTGCCCAGGACTAAGCCTGAGCCTCCACGGGGCAGCTTGGAGATGGGGGGCAGCAGGGTCCCTGTTTCCCCCCCATCTTTCTGGCAGACCACATCCCACAGCAATCTCTGCCCTCCTCCCCCCAGCATCCCGGTTCCCCCAGTCCTCATCTCACTGGGAGTCAGCCCTCCCAGGGTGATGGGACGCTGGGGGACATGTCCCAGGAGCTGGGCTGTGTGCCCCATCCCCAGGGAGCCCTGGATGCACGCAGGGACCAGGGCTCCTTCTCCATCCTGCTTAGCTACCGTCCTCTCCCCAAAGGAACCACTGCTCCTGGGAACACCCCCAGGGGCCGGATCCTGCAAGCTCCAGCCCCGACGCAGCTCAGGACCCGCTGCAGAGCACATCCCTGCCCTGGGATTCTCCCCATTACCTGGAGTCCCCGGCTCAGGACTCGCTGTCAGCCGAGCCTGGAGCTGCCTCCGCAGGGCTTTCCCCGGGGGGAAGCGACCCGCCTTCCCAGGCTGAGGCTGCAAGGAGAGGGGGATGCACAGACCCCTCCTTGTACCCCGAGGACCGCCGAGCCTTCTGACAGCAGGGCACAATGGAGGCGACGCCGGGCATGGCTTTACTCCGGAAGCCCAAGCCGGTATCCGGGAGAGAGGAGACGCCAAGAACAGGCTCCTCGGCGGCAGCGTTTACCCAGAGCCCTCTAGAGGTAACCCAACCCCGGCTTCCCCCCCATCCCGACCCTCCCCGCCGGCTCCCCGGCACCCACGGAGGGCACATGGGACCCCGCTACGGTCCTGCCCCGTCACCCGCATTGCCCCCACGCCCTTCTCTTTTTACCCAGCGGTTTTGGAGAGCCCCAGCCTTGCTAGAAACTCTGCCAGGGGGGGTCGTGACAGCAGCAGCGGGGATATTTGAGTATTGCAACCATGGGGAAGCATGGGAAGGTGATGGGGGTCTCTCTGGGGCAACAGGACATCCCCCAGGTGAGAGAGGGGGACACCGGGCCGGTTGCCTGATCAGCATCAGGGATGCGAGCTGTGCAAGCAAGAAATTAGGTTTTCCACCTGGAAAAGTGGCCCAAACCGTGTTTTCATCACGTGGCTGGTGAAAACTGATTGTTTTCCCCCAAAAGCTCCAGGCTCAGGAGTCATGCGCTTGCGGGTGGGAAGGAAGGGAATTTCCACTTACCAAGTTATCCCTCCTTGTTGCTGGAGGAGGTCACGAAAGCCAAGGAAAACACAACTCTGTGAACAAGAAGATAAAGAAATGCAGCAGGGGAATGAGAGAAGAGCCTGGATTTCTGCCTCCGAGAAAGCCCAGGAGATTTGAAACCACGCGGACGCTTTTCTCTACGGTGGGTGCAGGGGTTTTAGGGGTGGTTTAATCCCTCCCTGGCCGGGAAAAGCCGGGAGAGGAGGGGAAGCAATAATTTTCTTTTAATTTGCTTTGGAAAGAGCGCAAGGATGGGGAGTTATCTCTAAATCCTGCCCTCCCTAATGCACAGGCGTTTAACCCCTGCCTCCCCGCTGAAGGAGGGAGCAGAGCTGATTTCTGCAGCCTCCCTGCTCCTCTCTCCCTGCTCCATCACTCCTTGGCTGGTGGCAGTGGATGGATGTCCTCAAGGGAGACCGGGGGAACCAAGCCCTGGTGCTGGGGGACACGAGCAGCCCAGGTGGCTCTGGGAGTGTTGCAGCTCGGCTGGGTATGGGAGGACACAGGAAGGGGCTGGATCAGCTGGATGCTGAAAGCGGAGGGGAGAAAAGGGCTCTCCAGGGATCCTGGATGTGCTCCGAGCAGAGGCTGTGCCAGCGGGTGCCGGCGTGGGGCAGGCAGAGCCCTGCCTGCATCCCCAGGCCCATCGAGGCACGCAACAGCCGTCTGCCCCGGGGCTCTGTCCGCACCAAATTCTGAGCCAGACACTCCAGGTGATGGGCACAGGGCAGGAGGGAAAGACCCACATGGGCTGCCCTGCCTCCCAGTCCGGCCCCAGTCCCTGTACTGGGACCAGTGCAAGGAGCAGAGAGAGGGAGCACCAGTCCCTGTCCTTGCCCCATCCCCGTGCATGGGGTTGCGCCACAAGAGGGCATGGGGAGACAAGAGCTGCTCCCAGGACCTGACTCTTCCCTGGTGATCCGAGCAGCAGATCTGCTCCCAAGAAGGTGGAAAAGGTCCCATGAGGCTGAGCTCTGCCGGGCAAGGGCTGGCTGAGCCCTCTCTTGTGTCCCGAGGGGAAAAACCTCGTAGGAATGAAGGCGGCTGCTTCTTCCCTTGCACAGATTGCCCATGCAAAGGGCGCTGCCTGGATTTGTCCAGGGTTTTTTCCCAGCTTTTCCCCCCAGGGAAGAGCTCAGCACCTCCTTCTCCCTCCGAGGCTCCAGCAGAGCATCCCCATCGCTGTGGAGAGGGACGGAGAAGGACATGGCCGCAGCAGAGCCGGCACAGGTGAGGCAGAGTCTCTCCTTCGGGGTGGGCAAGTGCATTTTGGCTGACCTGAAACGTCAGGTACCCTCTGCCCGGTCTGGTGGGGCTGTACAAGCTGCTCTGTGACCCCATATACCGGTGGCGGTCAGGGTGCAGGAGAGGCGATGAGGAGCAGAGGATGGAGCCCGTGGTGGGCATGCTTCAAGGCTGAGCCTGGGTGCAAGCTGCCGGAAGGGTTTCTCTGAGATCTGTCAGAAACACAGGGAAGGTGGAAAGTCACAGGAGGGCATAGGGTTTTGTGTCTCCAAGGGACAGGAAAAGGCACAGAGGATGGGGTGGGGAGGTTGAGCCCAGCCTCGTTGAGCTCCTTCAGCTCCATCATCCCCATCAGGCATTGCTGGGTGTTTAACAGCTCTCAGCGTTTTCCAGTTTCTTTTTTTCCTTCCCCATGATCTTACCCAGCTGCTTTCCGAACCCCTGTGGTCCTTTAGCATCCGTGATGTCCTGCAGCAAGGCTTTCCACAGCTTAACTACACCCCATGGGGAACGACACCCTGATATCTCTCATCCTTGCCAGCATCCTTTCTGGCTCTCCTGCAGCTCTGCCGAACGTAGCCGTGGCTCCTCTCCCTGCTGCCTTGAGCTGACCCACGGTGGCAGGTGCTGAGCTGGGAAATCCTTGTTGTTTCAGTGTCCGGTGACCTTCAAGGAGGTGGCTCGGTACTTCACCGATCCCAGCCAGCGGGCCCAGTACCGGGAAGCCATGCAGGAGAGTGCTGGAAATGACTCCTCTTTGGGTAAGGATGCACCTTCCCTCCTTCCTGGGCTAAGTCTTGGGACTGGGTGGGCACAGGGGATGGTCCTCTAGACTTTGGAGGTGAAGGAGACTTTCCCCGTTGCTTCTGGCAATTGTGCTTCCCCCTTGGGACGCATATTGGGGACCCATAGCACCCTCTATCCCCACCTTCTTCAGAGAAGCACATGCTCTACTACGTCAGACCAATGGTCCATCTGGCCCTACGTTCTCTCCAGCTGTGGTGGAAGGAGATGCTATGTAAGAGAACAAGGAGGGAGACCTTTCTCAGCGGTGCCCAGCCCTTGCGTCATCCTCTCTCCAGCAGAGCCCCCAAATCTTCTCATAGTAGCTCCTCAAATGCACCCAGACCTCTGCTCTGTCTCAGGAACCAGCTCTGCCGACCCTCAACCTCACAGGATCTCCTCTGGGCTGGAGTTGGAGGAGAAGACATGGACCCCAGCTCCCCAGGACTCAGATGCAAACCCCTTCTCTAACAACTCTTCCACAGTGAGGAACTGGCTTAAATAACCTAGAAAGCATCTAGGAGAAAAGCAGAACACCTGGGACTTCTACCCAGGCCCTAAGACACCCACCCTGAGCTTGGTATCTTCTAGGAGAGGGGTCCCAGAACCTCTCCTGGTCTCTTGGGAGATGCTGCCTCCAGATGCACATTGGAGGGGAACTCTCAGCCCATGGGAAGCAAAGGCAGAAACTCTCCTTTTGAGTTACGGAGGGTTTTAAGAGCTGGGGTTTGAAGCTGAACTTCAGCCCAAGCTTCCAGCTGGCCAATTGTCAGGGTTTGGGCCTGGGCTGAAGGTGGAGCTCACATGAGCTTTCTTCATTCTTGGCTTTCCCCTGCCCTGCTTCTTCAGTGGGTTCCCTTTTCCATCCCAGCCAGGGACTGACTCTTCGTCATCTCTTTCTCTTTCCTCTGCAGGGGATGGGATGGTGAGTGGGATGAGGGACAGTACCGCACACACAGACATCAAGACCTGCCTGGAGGACATCTCCCAGCACCATGAGCCAGCCAACATCCACCAGAGCTCCCGAGAGAAAGGCCAAGAGAAGGCCCAGGGTCATCCTGGGGGGGAAACTCCAGGGACATGCAGGGAATTGCTGTTCCCCCATAGCCTTTGCCCCAGGGATAAACCCATCCCTCATCCCACCAGCAAGCAGAGCTTCCATCCCCGGAGACGGGGGTCCCAGCACCCCTGCCCTGACTGTGGGAAAAGCTTCGGGGCCTTCTCCAACTTGCTCCGTCACCAGCAGAGCCATGGTGGGAACAAGCCCTACAAATGCCCTGACTGTGGGAAGGGGTTCGGGCACAGCTCGGCGCTGGTGACGCACCATCGCATCCACACGGGCGAGAAGCCCTACCAGTGTGCCGACTGCGGCAAGAGCTTCAACGTGGTGTCCAACCTGGTGCGCCACCGGCGGAGCCACACCGGGGAGAAGCCTTACAAGTGTCCCGACTGCGGCCGGCGTTGCAGTCAGCGTTCCCACCTGGTGACCCACCGCCGGTTGCACACGGGTGAGCGCCCGTACCCATGCCGGGACTGTGGGAAGAGCTTCAACGTCAGCTCCGATCTCATCAAGCATCGCCGCACCCACACCGGGGAGAAGCCCTACGAGTGTCCCGACTGCGGGAAGCGTTTCAGCGGCAGCTCCAACCTCATCACCCACCAGCGGCTGCACAGTGGCGAGCGGCCCTACACCTGCGCCGACTGCGGCAAGGGCTTCACCATCAGCTCCCAGCTCATCGCCCACCAACGGACGCACCGCCGCCAGCCAACGCTTCAGCGATCGACCCCACCTCGTCCGGCACTGCCGCGCCAGCCAGCGGGAGAAGCGCTACAAGTGCTCCGAGTGCGGCAAAGGCTTCACCACCAGCTCCTACCTCCTCACCCACCAGCGCAGCCACACCGGGGAGACCCCCTTCCTCTGTGGTGTGTGCGGCAAGAGCTTCACGGTGGTCTCCAACCTGGCACGTCACCGGCGCGTGCACACCGGGGAGAAGCCATTTCGGTGTGGGGAGTGCGGGCGGCAGTACAGCCAACGGGCTCATCTCACCACCCACCAGCGGGTCCACACCGGCGAGCGACCCTATGTCTGCGGGGATTGTGGGAAGGGCTTCAACGTCAACTCGTCCCTCACCAAGCACCGGCGGGGGCACACTGGGGAGAAGCCCTACCACTGCCCTGAGTGCGGGAAGAGCTTCAGCCAGAGCTCCAACGTTATCACGCACCGGCGGCTCCACCCCAGCCCCGGGGTACCCCAGCTCCGTGCATGAGTGGCTCCAGCTCCCACACCGTGCTGGTGAAGCCTAGTGATGCCAGCCCAGCCAGGAGGTCTTCTTCAGAGACTGGAAGTCAACCAGGACTGTGGTTATCTTGGCACATGTGGGAGAGGGAAGAGAGGTCTGTGTATCTGGGGATATGAAGGGAAGGACAGGGACCAAGCGTGGCCACCATCAGCAGAAAACACCGACTCTGGGTGAAGTTCCTCCTACTCCACTGGAGGAGAGAAAAAACACCCCTCATTCTTCCCAACCAAATTAGGACAGGGTATCTCCTGCTCCCACCTTGCCCAAACACAACAACAAAAAGGACCTTTGTTTTTCCTCGCTGCTCCAAACTCTCCCTACACCAAGACACTTGATACAAGGTGCCCAAGGGCTGTTTCATCTCCCATCTGGCGTTCCCTTCTCCTCTGGTGATCTGCTAGTAGTGATAACAGCTTCAGAAATAAAAGGTGGTGTGATAAATACCAGCTGTGATCTGTGTGTGTGTGCGCGTGCACCCATGGGGAGTCGAGGCACACAAGCCCCCCCCCACAGCCTCTTTTTACCTCCAGGCTGGGGCAGGAGGAAGACCCTGAGCCTCAGGGTCCCCAGGGGACTCCAGCAGCCGAGCAAGGAGCAAGCCCAGGGGCCAGAGTCCACCAGGGTTGGTCTCCTACCACTCCACATCACTTTGGATCCCATGGGGGGAGAATCCTGAGCTGGGAGGGTAAAAAACCCGGGGGGGGGTGGTGGTGGTGGTGTCACTGATCCTTCTGCAGATGGGCCCTAAGTGTTGGCCTCGTTGGCCAAACTCATCTACTCGGTTGTCCCAGAGCTGCACAGTCACCTGGGGCTATTTGAGCTCTGGCCACGGCAACGTAGAAGCAGCCATTTCACTGCCCTGCTGAGGTGCAGGCTGTCCTTGCAGCCTCACCTACTCCTGTTTTAACGTTGGGGTTTTTTGCATTTGAGCTGTAAGGTCATTGGGCTTTGCCTGGAGAACATGGCTAGGGAGCTCCAGACAGCACTGGGCTTCGGTGTGGTACCCACCCATCTCCTTGAACCTTGGCAAAGTAACACACCAAACCCATAAGTGCAGACCTTATAAATAAAGAGAATCAGTGGCAGAAAACATCATTTCTCTCTCCTACTCAATACCAAGCCAAGATGAGTGTAACTTCAGGTATGACTAGAGGCCATCACCCTGTTTCCAACCATGGCAAACCTCCCCACAGCTCTCCAACCTCCCCAGACACTTGGTGTGGTCTGAGATGATGGCATCTCCCAACGGGGAGCAGCCTTTCCCCTGCAGGTGCTGAGGTCTCAGCTCCCAGCTGCACGGAGAGGGTCTTCAAAGAGGTCACGATGGACTTTGGTGGTCTCCCACCAGCATCACGGGGGGGCTGATTAATACAGTCTTATGCGGGCAGGATGCTGAAGATGCTCCCATCCAGGAGCTGCCCTCCAAATCACCTCCTGTGTGGGCACGTGGGTGTGGGAGCACCAGTGGGGCGCCAGGTTTAGTGGTCATCTTTACAGGAATGATATTGAATCAGGCGGGTGAGAAAAGCTCCGAGTTTATTCTTTTTACTCCTCTTTTCTTCTTCTCCCAGGCACGCAATGAGGGAGACAAGGAAAGATATCCATGGCGAGAGGACAGGTCCTTATTACTCAGTTCATGAAAGAAGATCCGCTGGGGATGGCGGAGGCAAAACACACTCCACCCTCACCTTTCATAACCTTATCCACAGCAGCCTGCAACTCCAAGGTACCGATGAAGGAGCCCCGGCGTTGCCTCCTCCGGCGGTCTGCCTCGGTGACCAACCCCTTGCAAAGGACGCCCATGGAGATGTTCATCAGCCTCTTTGCCTTCACCGACATGCGCCTGGCCGGTGGTGGCAGCTGGCTCAGCAGCCTGGAGATGTACCTGTTGCAGGATCCCTTCTTGAACCAGCCGCTTAATCCCTTCGGAGCTGGTTTCTGTCGCCCAGTCTGAGCCGGAGACCTTCTCCACTTAAGCAGAGGCTTCGTCCGCTGGACCTTCTGCTTCTTCCTCCTCGAGGTTTTTCCTCGTCTCTTGGTGGCTACAGCCATGGGGTCTCCTTCAGACTCAGTGCTCCTCCCTGCAAAGGTGTCCCACCGGAGCGATAGCTCTCATACAGATGGACGTATTCAAATGAGGCATTGACATTGCAGCCCAGGATTGGCCAGCTGCGGCAAAGCCCTTATGAGGCAGCTCTTCCTCATCCAGAATTTGCATAAGGATTTTTTTTTTTTGCCCGGAAAGCATGGAGTTAGACCAAAAGAACATTCCCCATTTTTGACTTGACTTAACCCCAATGAAAATCCCAAAAAGTTTTCTCCCAAAACCACCTTTCCTTCTGTATTTCCTTGCGGAGAAAAGAGTCAGAAACAACTTGATTTCGATTCTTCCTAGGTTAATTACAGCACTCACTTAACGACGGTGCGTGGTCAGCATGCAGAGGGAAGGTTTTCAGAAAGATCCGGGGCTAAACCTGGAACTTCCAGGCTTTGCCTTTCTGGGGCAACTGGAGAAACATCGGAGGGAGGCCTTCGATGGACCCTGCCGGGCTTTGCAAAGTGACGGGGGAGACTTCCAAGAGCGCAAACAGTAAGGAGAAAAGCGGTCAGTTTGGCTATGGAATAAAAATAGAAAGTAAAACTGAATTGGTGTTAAATTAAATTAAATCAGGGATTTTACTAGCACCACGAGCATGCGAGCATGCCTTTCCCCCCCCCCCCCATCTTTCTCCTAATTTTTCCTTGTAGAGGTGATGACCAAGCTGCAGCCAGGACCACGGCGCGTTTCAGTGCGGATCGGGCCGGTCTGGCTCTTCTGAAAAAGAGCAAATCCTTGTGTTATCCCAAGCGGGCAACGGAGACCGCGTGGCCCAGGGATGGAGCGATGGAAGCGGAGGAGCAGAAAAGAGCCAGAAGAGGGTTTTACCACTGCAAAAAAATAAGCTTGCTGCAGATTCGGGGGGGGTCGTAAAAGAGGCAGGAAAGACCAAGATATGGAAGGATTAACTGTGGAGGATGAGGAGGGTGAGGGGGGCTTTCAGCAGTGTCAGGATGGCCGAGTGGTCTAAGGCGCCAGACTCAAGGCTTTGCTTTCCCTGCCCGGGGTTTTCTGGTCTCCGAATGGAGGCATGGGTTCAAATCCCACTTCTGACACACCTTTTCCTTCTAAAAACTAAAATTTTTATTATTTTTTTTCAATGATTCCCCCATCATCCCCGCACCCGAGTTAGGGAAAACGCCGAGTCTCTTCCCCCCCCCCAAAAAAAACCCCCTTCG